TTTGCAGGTAGCTGGGAACAGCCTACCGGGCCCGGGGCCAACGCGGAGGCCTCGGGTTAGCGCCCAGCTCGGCTCAGCTCCGCTACGGGAGGATGAAGCCAGTTCCCGCTGCTGGCGAACCAATTACACGCAAAGGTCCCTGCTGGACAGTTCCGCGCTCCTAATTGTTCCTCGCCGACAGTTTCTGATTATTGATGCCGTGGGTCGCAAAGGAGTCCGCTTTCGAGTTATTTGCTTTTGTGTTTATTTTTTATTTATTATCTTCACGGTCATTATTTGGTGGCTGCCGTAAAGACGACGCGAAACCCAGCGAGGCGGCCCTGCCCCACCTCTCGGAGGCCGCCCTAGGCGTGCTGGTGACCCGCGGGCGCCGCATCCTCCCTTGAGATGGAGCCACAGCGCCACCTCGCGATCCTCCAGCCCCCTCCCGTCGAGGCCACTGAAGGCCGGGACCTTGCCTAGCTCCCCAGTTCCCTCCACTGGGTTTCTATTCGCGTTGACCCTTTCTCATCCTCCCTCCACAACTTTCTCCGCCAGAGCCTCCAGGGCCACAGTCACTCTCTACCCTCTCCTCGCGCACTGGCGGAACCTTCTTCTCCACCTGGTGTAGCACCGCTCGCCTGGGGAATCACTGAGACCGTTCCCTGCTTTCCCTGGCGCTGTCATATCACTTTGGACAGGAAATATGTTTTCGTGGCTCTCACCCCTCCCTAATAGGAGAGCATTTCAAGGATCATTATTGCCGCTGACTCAATCACAATTTAACTTCACAGTAAGTCATGCTATAGAGCATCTTTTTGTTGTTCCTATACATTTTTGTACCCTATATTAACGACCACATATCAGAGAGAACATAATACTTGTCTTTTGGGGACTGGCTTATTTCACTAGACGTAATGGGTTCCAGTTGCATCCATTTTGTTGCAAATAGGATTTCATTCTTTTATATGACTGAGTTGTATTCCATAGTGAATATATACCATAATTTCTTTATCCAATCATCAATTGATAGACATCTAGGTTGATTCCCTATCTTAGCTATTGAGAATTGGGCTGCAATAAACACAGATAACTCTTTCATATGCTGATTTCATTTCATTTGGGTAAATTTCCAGGAGTGGGATGGCGGGGCCATATGGAAGATCTATTTCAGCTTTCTGAGGAATCTCCATGCTGTCTTCCATAATGATTGTACTAGTTTACATTCCCATCAACAGTGATTTAGGGTACTTTTACCCCCACATCCTCATCAGAATTTGTGATTTTTTGATTTTTGGATGATAGCAATTCTAACTGGCACGAGATAAAAATTCACTGTGGTTTTTATTTACATTTCCTTGATGGTTAGTGATCCTGAGCATCTTTCCATGTGTCTGTTGGCCATTTGAATTTCATCCTTTGAGAAATGCCTGTTCATGTCTTTTGCCCATTTCTTAACTGGACTCTTTGTTTTGCTGTTGTTGAGTTTCTTGAGTTCTTCATAGATCCTGAATATTAATCCTTTTATCAGTTGGGTAGTTTGCAAATTTTCTCTCCCATTCTGCTGATTGCCTCTTCACTTTGTTGAGTGCTTCCTTTGCAGTGCAAAAGTTTCTTAACTTGATGTAATCCCATTTGTCAATTTTTTTCTTTTATTGCCTGTGCTTCTGGTGTCTTTTCCAAGAAGTTTTTGCCTGTGCCAATTCTTGTAGAATTTCCCCAATGTTTTCCTCTGGTAATTTGATGGTATCAGGTCATAGATTTAGATCCTTGATCCACTGTGAGTTGATTTTTTTGTGTAAGATTTAAGGTAGGAGTCTTATTTCATACTTCTGCATGCGCAAATAGACTGTGCTAAGCATTTAACCTGCATTGATTGGTGTAATTTCCCCAGCAAAATCATAAAGTGCTAGAGCTCACTTCTCTTCTTCTTCCTCCTCCTCCTTCCAGAAATACATGTCTCACTTTATTTTTAAAGTTTGTTTCTTTTTATTTATTTGAAAGGCAGAGTGACAAAGAAGGAGGGATTGAGGGAGGGAGGGAGGGAAGGAGGGAGGGAGAGAGAGAAAGAGAGAAAGAGAGAGAGAGAGAGAGAGAGAATGAATCTTTAATTCTCTGGTTCACTCCCCAAATGCCATAACATCCAGGGTTGGGCCAGGCCAAAGTCAGGAATTCTACCCGGGTCTCCCATGTGGATGGGAGAGACTCAGTTGGGTAATCCTCTGCTACCTCCCAGGATTTGCTTCAGCAAGAAGCTGGTTCGGAAGCAGAAACAGGACTTGATTTCAGGCACTCAGCTATGGGATTCAGGCACCCCAAGCAACACCTTAACCAGCTGTACCACAACACCTTGACAACAGCTGCCCCACAGCTCACTTTTCTTAATTCTGTCTTATGAGTTTATTCAGCTCTCTATTCACAGTTCTTGCAATAGGGAAAGGCACAAAATTGGCTCATGTGTTTATGAATAAATGTACCATTGCTCATTTAAACTCTTTTCTTGTAGAGTTGGTTTAGGGGAAGAACTGCAGTTAACAGACCTTGATTGGAACATGGCCACTCTGAATCATTCCTTGAAAGTATCCCACAGCCAACTACCTCAGTGACTTTGGTCAACTCATTGCATCCACAACTGCCTTGTCCTTAAAAGCAGATTTACTGTAAGGAGTAAATGAGGTGGAGGGAATGGTGAAGGATTTGATATAGTACCTCATATTCTAGTCAATATTTAACAGCTATAACTCAATAATATAATTATGAATAATCACTTTAGAAAATAAAGCACAAAACTGACTTATACTAGTTGCACAGAATTCACTGTACCTCCCTGTGAAATTAGCTCAATAGTATATCCTAATTTCCATCTTGAACAAGAATTACGTGGTAAAATACATATGGTTTATGGTGGTTGGGGTGTTAATGCTAACCCGGTTCTAAAACCTTAAGGGACAGGGGGAGAGAGATAATTAAACAGTAAATCAGGAAACTTGGCCCCTCACCCTTTCCTCCTGCTTTGTGAAGTTTTACCAATAAAGACTATGAAAGTGCTTATTATATGGAAAGTACAAAACTATTTTTTAATTTAGGGGAGATTCTGAGCTAGTTCTAATTTCCCTCCACTTAAAAAACTTAGTTGCTATGAATATATTAATAGTTTAAAAATATGTGTCTAAGCAAATGATTGTACCCAAATAAAAGAAACAAATGAGGATTGTTTGAACATATTCTAGGCTTTCAAATATCACCTAAAAAGGCTAAGTTTTTAAAGTTCAGGGTCTTTTTCTCAAGCCTCACATTAACAATGACCCGTAGTAGCAATTTAGGTAAAAATGAACTGTTCCGCCTGATAGGGCTTTACCTTTCTTACTATCAAATTATTTTGGAAAGACTATTGACTAGTAGAGTCAATTTCCTTTCAGAAAAAATGAGGCTAATAAAATCCACAAAAGGCATAAATGTGCTCCACATTTAGTTGATCCATAATCCATGTTTAAAAACTTTACCGTAGCCCCCGGTTAGTTGAATTTGTTTGTACCTGCTTCTTACTCCATGCAATGTAGTTGTACAGAGGTACAGAAAAAAATTCAGGCAACTTTATCTGCAGCAAGTTCATGTGTTACAGAGATTATATTGCATAGCTGACAGATAGTATATAATTCTTAATTTAGAATCTGATTTATATCGATGGTGTGAGACACTGGATTTTCAACAATGTGGGAAACTTTGGTTTTATTTTCTTCTTCTTTTTTTAATTCTTAGCATGGTAGTCATTAAATGTGCTCACCTAAATTCTGGTTTTTCCTCTTCTGGGTACATAGCAGTGTTGAACTGTTCTGACCTTTGCAAATGAAGCACATGAGAAATTAGCAGAAATGACACATGTCACTCCCAGGCAAAAGCAGGAAGAGCCAGTATATGATTCAGCACCTCCCCTGCACTTTTGCTGATGACACCCAGATGGAGTTTCCTTCAGTTCTACAAATTCAAAGAACATGTGGAATGGAGACCCTCATACCCACAAAAGATGCTTAGCATGATCCTTTGTTAAATGTGAATCTCAGAGATTGTTTACTCCGGCATAATCTAGCCTCTCCTGACTGACACACTTAGGAAGGCAACTCCTCATTATTTCCTAGTTGTGTGGAGAATGTGAAAATTCTTCCTGTGGAGTGAAAAGTAAACTTCCACATTCTATTCAATAATGTAATCAGTTAACGAAATCATTCAGCTAGAAACCTGAATCCCATGCTCTCTGTCAATTCATACATTTCCTGAGGGTCAAGACATCAAAACCTTGAAAAAGGAAAACAGCTTAATTTTTGTAATGCTTAAACAGAATCTCAAAATTATTGCTGGACCTCCTGCAGATACACCATGAAGGGAATCCCACAGGCTCTGGCTTGGAGACTTTATTAGAATTGTGTGAAGAAATTGGCAAAGAAACATTTCTGTCTCCATCACATTCATTTTTCTAATTTCAGGTCGGTGAGAGGGAAAAATACTTGGCCAGTCAATTTGGGCTTCAGGAACAAGTTATTTCATGTTTCCAGACTTTAGTTTCCTCATTTAAAGTTATGGACTAAATGTTTGTGCCACCTGAAACTCAAACATTTGAAACGCTAACCTCCAATGTGATGGTATTACTTCCCAAAGGTAATTTGGATGTAATTAAATTTAGAAGAGGGCGTGAAGATGGAGTCTATCATGGAATCAGTGTCCATAAAAGAGAACAACTAGAACAATCTCACCTCTCCTCCCTCCTCCTACCCCAAAGAAGAGGAAGTGAATAGAATGATCTCTCTCTCCCTCTTCTTCCCCCTCCCCTGTACCCTCCCTTTCCCTTTCCTTCTCCCTTTCTTCCTCCCACATGAGGACATAGCAGGAAAGTAGCTATCTGTAGGAAGAGGGCCCTTACAAGAACCTGACCATGCGGGCATCCTAATCTCAGACTTTCTAGTTTCCAGAACTGTGAAAAACAAAGGCCTGTTTTTGAAAGCCATCTTATGTGTATTTTCCCATAGCAGCCTGAGGAGATTAATGTGCCTGGAAGATAAGAATAAGCGGACAAGATGAGTTTCAGGACATCATCCAGTCCCACCAGGCTAGAATTCTGAATCAGTGTTGGGTGACAGCAGGTTCAGGTAATGCTACAGTATACGACTCTTCCTGTGTTTCCATTCTCGACATTATTTTGTGAAATACTTTTTAACCTTCTTCTGTACTGATCCAGACTTAAAAGAACTGCTTCTTGAGCAAGAGAGACAGTATTTCTTTTCTTCAACCTTGAAAATTTTAAATGTGGAAGTCTGCTTAAAAAAGTGGGGCATATAGATTGGAACCATGTAAAATGCTTTGTCGTTTCCTAGCTAGCAGGAAAAGCTTGCTTCCATATTGAAGAACTGTTCTCCCCAGGTTTCATTATCTATCAACTAAAGAAGTTTCCTGTGAATTTTCAGGAAACTTTATGGAAAAAATATTGATTGCATGACAAATCCTCAAGGGTGAAATCATTTCTATCTGTTCTTTATCTTTGGTGAGGAATGATTGGTTTCCAAGAATAATAGTATTAGGTTCATTTGGATAATAAACAAAATTTAAAATTAACAAAGAAGTTTCTTTTGGGCTTATAGTCTTGACCCCTCTTAACAAATTATACAATGGACAAAGGCCCCCCATTTCACAGGGGTGAAAATAAGGCTTAAATTGGCGCATAAGCAGCATTCTGCCTGTAGCTCCAAAGATACAGCTGTCTATGAAACGTTAGCAGGGAAGAGAAAGTATTGAGATGATGCCACAGGGCACTTCTTGGTAGAAAAATGCAAAATGTTCTCTGTTGCAAACATCGTTCTGTTATGGGGTTCTGCTTTCCATCTGGGCAGCCAAGAAGATGGCCCTCTTCTTCTTCAAGTGTGATGTGGTCATCTGACTTGCTTGATCCAGAGCACTCATGGTCAAGAGAACATCTGGGACACTCATTCCCCTCAACAAGAACCATCATTGAGAGTAGAACCAGTAGCTTGGGTCTTGTTTGTGGTGTTACCATGAAAAGAGTTCCTTAACAATATGTAAGAGATTTAATGGAACTAAGTGGCTTAAGCCACTGGGATTTCAGGCTTGCTTGTTATTGTGACTGAAGTTAGCTTACTTCTACTGGTACAACCTTCTAATTCAAATTTAAGTCTTTGGTGAAAGGGAACTATCTCTGTGGGGCAGATACTCCTAAGTTTGACTTTATGCACGTATCTTTTAAAAATCAAATACTATTCTAGACAACTCATGTTTTTACTCCACTTAATTTCACTATGTTATTTAAACATACACAAAGCATAAAACTAGGGATAAACTCTTTCTGTGTATTCTAAAGTAACTGAACAAGGAGAGCCCCACAAAGCAAGGATTGATAAATAATCAATATGCTGGATTCCTCATTGTTTTGTGAGAACCAAATTGTCACTCAAATGTCAACATGGTTCTGAGATCATTAAAGCAGGCTCTTTTGGGCATATAAGTATGTTCTCTTTAATTAGCTGATTCTCCACAGCTTGCCTCTTTTTCTGACCCACCACAAGATATTCCTGAATTCATAATGTGTAGAAAAACCTAAAAGGAATCATTTCAGTGTTTTTTAAATTTTTTTAACTAAAAAATTTAAAAGACATAAAAATTATACATATCTATTGGGTACTATCTGATGTTTCAATATATGTATGCATTGTATAATGTACAATCAGTAAATATATCTATCTCTACAAACATTTAACATTCTTTTATGGCATAAACATCCAAAATCCTAACTCTGGCTTTTTTCTTTGTATACTAAAAAATGCAGTACATTAAAATTATCTGTAGTCACTCTATTTTAGAATAGAACCCCAGAACTTCCATTTCTGTTCCTTCTTTATCAGTTCATGGCATTTAGAAATCTCTATTGGCATCAATAGTCACAAATCAAATTTAAGCCCAGAGATTGTATGTCAATATTCAGTTTTAAGGTAATTGTTCATGTAAATCTATGATTAACTTTTTTCATTATTGCAATGAAAACTCTAAGTTTTTCCTCCTCATTAAAAATAAGGAAACATCTCATTCTCAAAAATACATTTCTTATACCACTGAAGTTTATATTTAGAAAACATTTTAAAAGGTACAGGTTACAGTTTGTGTATTCTAGAATAATTTTAACCTTTTTTTTTTTTTTTCAGAAAAAATAGCACAGGTACTTTGAAGATTAAAGCCTTCCTCCCACTATTTTGATGCTGGTGACCTTGAAGCAAGTTGCATAACATTTCTGAACCACAGGTGTCTCATCTGCATGGTAGTACACTCCTTATCTTAAGAGGACAGAGAGGAGTCTGGCATTGCCACTTCCAGAAAAGCAACAGAAGATGGTCCAAGTGTCTGTGCCCCTGCAACCCACATGGGAGACCCAGTTGGAGCTCCTGGATCCTGGCTTTGGCTTGGGTTGGCCCTGGCTGTTGTGCCCAGTTTGGGGGTGAACCAGCAGGTAGAAGACCTCTCTCTCTTTCTCTCTCTCTCTCACTCCCTCCCCTGCCCCCCATAACTCTAACTTTCAAATAAATAAATAATTTTTTTTTAAAAAAAAGAGAGGACAGAGTGAATGGAATTCTGTTGTGGCACCAGTTTGTGGAGAAGTGCTAAGTGTTGTTGTAATGGACCATAGCTCTACTGCATTTCCCAGCTTCGTTTGAAGTTAGGTTGAGATAGCATTGGTGGAAGCCATATTAAGACATGGTCCAGAAGCCCTCCCACAGAACTGCCACTCTTTCTCTTCCTTTCTATGGGCTCAATCAGAGGATCTCAGCACTTGAATTTGGGTCTTTGTAATTCCCTCTGTAAAGGTCCAGATAGCATTATGGGTTTCATTAGCCATATAGTCTCACAATTGTTTTACTCAACAAAGCATGATGATATGTCAACAAATGGGTGTGGCTGTGTCCCAATAAAAGTTTCTTTTCAAAAAGTTCCTATTGGTCCCAGACCCATACCATAGTTTGTTGATCTCTCCTATAGAAGTATCTTAGAGTAACAAGAAGGAAGGTAGCTGGGTCTCTGAATAACTACATATGACTTTAGAGGAACAAAAATAAACAACTACTGCATTAATCTGTTGAAATTTTATGGTTATCTCAACATTTATTTACTGTGACATAATACCCAAGCACAAAAAAGCCTTTCTATAAATATAAGGTTTTCCCTTCTTCCCTACAATATCATTGAAGATGGGGCTGTGGACTGTTCATCTGTTTACCCTCTCATAGAACTTCACAACACGTTAGTGAAATTAGTAAAACAGGCCGGCGCCGCGGCTCACTAGGCTAATCCTCCACTTTGCGGCACCGGCACACCAGGTTCTAGTCCCGGTCGGGGCGCTGGATTCTGCCCGGTTGCCCCTCTTCCAGGCCAGCTCTCTGCTGTGGCCAGGGAGTGCAGTGGAGGATGGCCCAAGTGCTTGGGCCCTGCACCCCATGGGAGACCAGGATAAGCACCTGGCTCCTGCCATCGGATCAGCGTGGTGCGCCGGCTGCAGTGCGCTGGCCGTGGTGGCCATTGGAGGGTGAACCAACGGCAAAGGAAGACCTTTCTCTCTGTCTCTCTCTCTCACTGTCCACTCTGCCTGTCAAAAAAAAATTTAAAAAAAAGAGAAAAAAAAAAGAGAAATTAGTAAAACATCAAACTAATCCTGTGTATGCAGAAACTATTGAATATATCACCTGTTACTCAAAGTTGTCATTGTCCCCTCTCTTCACTCCGCTGCCCTAGACATGTCTTGGTCATTTGTGCCCCACCCCAGATAACCAGAGACACACATTGTTGAGATAATTTTCTTGGGTAAAGTGAGTAGAGCTTGACTAGTTGGCCCGTGTTATGTGAACAGATTGTTTCTTATTATAAAGTCCCCTCTGGGTCTTTGCTCAACTACTACATAATTACACTCACAGGCCGTCTCCTAGCCACCTGCCCCACTGCCATTGTGGATTGATATTTTTAACACTAATGTATAGTAAGGGGCTTGAGACCCAGAAGCATTGAAAAGTCCTTCCAAATCGGGTGCCTGCAATATGAAGAAGCTGCAACGCGCCATCCCCGCACGACACCTCTACACTGTTTTCTACCTTCTCTAGCTGATATATTTGCTGCGGAACAACAGCCTCAGAGTGAGTAATCTGTCACCACTCTGAGTAAGTTTTACTGAGTTTCAAATTTTCCCATTACAAATGGAAAATGAGAAAAATATGTCCTAGATACCACAGAGAAAAATGCTTCATTGTCTTAATTGCCTTTCTATTTCAATCAAGGAAGGCATTTAATTATTTCTGAACTACATTCAAAACTCTCTCACAAGAATATTACTCTCCCCAGGTGAGTTAACCAAACCTGTGCAAAACATTTCTCCAGTCTGAGTTGACAGTAGCAAACATTCGCTGAGCACATTTTACACGCCGGTGACTATTCCAAATTCCTTCCACATGGGACCTCATTTGTTCCTCCGAGGAAATCTTTTCCACAGCAAGTGGAAATCATCATTATTCTCCTCGGGAAACTGAGGCAGAGAGCGCTGAGATAATTTGCCTAAAAGCTTAAGGTAGTAGGTGGTAAAGTCAGCATTCGGTCCCAGGCCAGCCCCTAAGGCCACGCTGCTTTCTTCACTGCTTCTGAGAGATGCGGCTTCCCCTGTGAGGTATGCCTTTGAGTGTGTGTGCAAAAGCCGTGTGGAGGAACCATCCAGGAGGACTTGGCTCAACTGCTGCAGGGTCATCCAGGATCTCAATCCTCTGAAAATTGAGGTGGGTCATCTAAAGGCTACAGGTAAGGAGGGGTAGAATTCATCTGGCTGCTAAAACAGGGAGAAAAGTTGTCCATGCTGCTGGGATCTGCTACCCTGAGTGCAAAGAGGCCAGGTGACACTCGGCACCCATTTTGATTTCATCACAATGTTGGAATCCATAGGGGAAGAAAATAACATTTCTGTTATCCATTCCTGATGGCCATTATTCCAATTTTATTTATTTATTTATTTATTTGACAGGTAGAGTTAAAGACAGTGAGAGGAGACAGAGAGAAAGGTCTTCCTCCCGTTGGTTCAATCCCCAAATGCCCTCATGGCCAGAGCTGCGCTGATCCAAAGCCAGGAGCCAGGTGCTTCTTCCTGGTCTCCCATGCGGGTGCAGGGACCAAGCACCTGGCCATCCTTCACTGCACTCCCGGGCCACAGCAGAGAGCTGGACTGGAAGAGGAGCAACTGGGACTAGAACCCGGCGCCCATATGGGATGCTGGCACTGCAGGCGGAGGATTAACCAAGTGAGCCACGGCACCAGCCCCATATTTTTTAAAGATTTATTTTATTTATTTGAAAGACAGAGTTACAGAGAGAGGTAGAGAGAGAGAGAGAGAGAGAGAGAGGTCTTCCATCCGCTGATTCACTCAACAGATGGCCACAACGGCCAGAGCTGCACTGATCCGAAGGAGCTTCTTCTGGGTCTCCCACTTGGGTGCAGGGGCCCAAAGGCTTGGGCCATCTTCCACTGCTTTCCCAGGCTGTAGCAGAGAGCTGGATTGGAAGAGGAGCAGCCAGGACTACAACCGGTGCTCATATGGGAAGCCGGCGCTTTAGGCCAGGGCTTTAACCCACTGTGCCACAGCGCCGGACCCCAATTTTATTTTTGTTCTAGAGAATGAGGAGCAATCATCTCAATCTTTATACCTCCCAACTGTGGGGGATAAGATCCTCCTGTGGATGTATGAAACCATATAATATCAAATTATAAGTATGCAATGATTTTTTCCATACACACACCCATGATAAAGTTTAATATGTAAAATAGGCACAGTAAGAGACTAACACCAATAACTAATACTAAAATAGAATAATTATAACAATATTCTGTTCTATTCTTGCACTTTGGGGCCATTATTAAGTAAAATAAGGATTATTGGAGCACAAGTCCTGTGATACATGGTGCGCAGTGTAGTCAGCATGGTTGTGTTGGAAAGAAGGATGATTCACGTCCGGGCAGGACAGCGTGGGACAGTGCAAGACTTCGTCATGCTACTAAGAATGGCATACCACTTAAAAATATGAACTGTTCACTTCTAGAAGCTTCCTTTTAATATGTCAGAGCACAGCTAACTACAGGTGCCTGAAACAACAGAAAGTGAAACTGCAGACAAGGGGTTACTACTGTACTCTAAAACTGAATGGCATAAACCCGTGTAGTGTATTGTTTAAGTAAGAAGTAGGAAGTATTTTCTTGTGTGATGGACTGTAGTCTTCAAGATGAACCTATGAGCAAGCAGGATAGACACAGGGTTTTGAAATGTGGGTGTCACATCCATAGGAATGCTGACAAATTGGTCACAAGGATTTTGAACAGTAAAACAAGCAAACTGTGAAGTACTTGGTATCCGTGAACCAAAGGATTTTATAATTTGGGTTAAAATGGTTTTAGTCTTCACAGTAGTCTTAGGTTTAATAGCATATTTATTTGCAAATATTTTAATGAAAATATCCTATTTCATTACTTTTTAAATATAAAATATAACCTCTATTCCTAATAAGCCATAATTCTTTAATTGTGTGCCATCATTTGTTTGAATGAATCTATCTCCGGTAAATAGGTTAACACTTGAAAAGCCTGCATAAGCTGTTTCTTATATTAAGATTTGTGGAAGTCATACACCCTTGAGACATGAAAGCAGTTGTTGTTTAATAAAAACTTGGACAATTTCTTAAAGAACTAGAATTAGGTAAGAAATCTAAACAAAATTAAATTTATCTTCATTGTGCTAGTTCATAGTTGTGTGCACAGTATTTCACAAGCATTCAAGCACCCAAATTTGGTTCTGTCCTAGGAATATCTTGCCAACTTGGATTTTTTTTTCAAAGATGGAAGAGACTAAAATCAGTATCATTGAGCTGCTGGTTCTCAATCATGGCAGCTATGAGCTATGTCATTTAGATCAACGCTTCCCTGTCTATCACACACACACACACAGGCAGGTTAAAATGCTTTTAAGTCTCCTGAAAGGACAGAAGAGCCAAACTGGCAGTGAGGAGTTCCCAGGTCAATTTGGAGAAAGACCTGTAACCAGAGAAATGACTGGAGTATTAGACTCTGAAGCCCTTATGCTAAAGACAGTCTCTGCTATTGTTCACCTGGGCTGCTTCTGCACAGGGGCTACGTCGGGAGAGGCAGCAAAGGTCAGGATTCAAAGCTTCCAAGGCAGAACATTTGTGGGGAACTCCTCACCTTAAGTTGAGATTTCAAGGAGAGATGTTTTAAGGATCAGGACAAAGTAGGTCCAAACTTCTCCCAAATGCCCCAACCCTGGAGAATCTTTGGACCATACTGGCCTTTGGGAGAATTCATAGTCAGGTCCTCATAGCCTGAGCTGATTGGGAATCCCAAATTGTGAAAAATGGATTAAGTGGCACCCAACTTGTAATGACCCTGGGTGCCAGAGATGCAAAACTTGTAAAGGAAGCCATGTATGTGTGCTACTCTGGGTTGATCCAACAGCGATACAAGGGCAAAGACATGAGCAGTCCAAGATCAGCAGCAATATAAGGAAGCACAACCCAATGCAAACAAACAGAATCAACAAAAAACACAGACATCTGTGCCCTCTCCCCAGCCATCAGGAGCATCGTAGACTAAAATATCACCAGTCACCATGTTTAAGACAACAAAGGACAATCTTGATAGTATCTGAAGGAAACAGAAAAAAACTATAAAATTGTCATGGCAGATTTCAAACAGAAACAGATAAAACTTTTACAAATAAAGACTAAAATAAATATTATTCAAGACCCAGCAAACAGATTTAAGAGTGGATCAGGCATAAAGGAAATTTAATGAACTGAAAGGCAAATGAGAACCAACTGTCCAGTCCAAAACATGGGGTAGGAAAAATTAAAATGAGAGTAAGATACAAAGAAGATGTAGTAGGAAATCCAACATTCA